AATGTCAAACAGAAAAGTGTCTTGGCAGAGTCATTGCTATCAGACCCTGTTCCCATCTCCAGGACACATAACTTGCATTCAACTTTCGCGGCTCTGATGTCTGGCATGCCTACTGAAGCCATTGGGGCATAATTAACTATTGTTTAGCAGCTTCAGTAGACATGCCAGATATCTAAGCCAATCATTATAACAGTGTTTTATGTTGCAGGCACTGCTCAAAGTTGCAAACCTTAAGATTCAAATGTTCATGAATTGCAGAGAAAAATTGTCAGAAATGCCACTGAAAAGGTAAGTTTCTTTGAGAAATATTAACATTTCAAAGTAGACACTACAATACACTACATGGCACTGCACTACACTGCACTGCACTGCACTACACTACACTACATAGCACTGCACTACACTGCACTACAATACACAACGTAGCACTGCACTACACTACACTGCTATACACTACATAGCACTGCACTACACTATACTGCACTGCACTACACTGCAATACACTACACTACACTGCAGTGCACTGCACTCGACTGCACTGCACTACACTACATAGCACTGCACTACACTGCACTGCACTACAATACACGACGTAGCACTGCACTACACTACACTACACTGCTATACACTACATAGCACTGCAGTACACTATACTGCACTGTGCTACACTACACTGCAATACACTACGTAGCACTGCACTGCACTCGACTACACTGCACTGCACTACAATACACTACATAGCACTGCACTACACTACACAACACTGCAATACACTACACTACACTGCAGTGCACTGCACTATACTACACTGCACTGTAATACACTACACTGCAATACACTACACTACACTACACTGCACGGCACTATACTACACTGCACTGCACTACACTGCACTGCAATACACTACACTACTCTAAAGTCAGTGCACTATCATTCATTTCAATTATTCTTTGCACAGTAGTCAATGCAAGTTATACAGATATATGAAGTATGACCCCATTTCTTTGTAGGTCACTGCCATGACCAGAATTCAGGCCAGCCCTCCAGGGGCCTGCAGTTTGTACTGGGGACCAAGAGTCAGCAGGCAGTGGTGGACACTTTCTTCATGGCCAACCTGGTACGTAACTGGGCAGAGTGTGCAGGTGGGGGGTGTCTTTTATCTTAAGAAGGAACTACAGGGAAACTTTTTTTNCTACACTACACTACACTGCACTGCACTACAATACACTACATAGCACTGCACTACACTACACAACACTGCAATACACTACACTACACTGCAGTGCACTGCACTATACTACACTGCACTGCACTAGAATACACTACATAGCACTGCACTATATTACACTACACTGCACTGCACTACACTATGTTGCACCTGCACTACACTACAATACACTACATAGCACTGCACTACACTGCATAGCATTGCACTGCACTGCACTACATAGCAATGCACTACACTGCAATATACTATATATCACTGCACTACACTGCAATACACTACACAGCACTGCACTGCAATACACTACACTGCAGTGCACTATACTACACTGCAATACACTGCACTGCACTGCACTACATTGCAATACACTACACTACACTGCAGTGCACTGCACTATACTACACTGCACTGTAATACACTACACTGCAATACACTACACTACACTGCACGGCACTATACTACACTGCACTACACTATACTGCACTGTGCTACACTATACTGCACTGCGCTACACTACACTGCAATACACTACATAGCACTGCACTACACTACACTACTCTGCAATACACTACACTAAACTGCAGTGCACTGCACTATACTGCACTGCACCGCACTAGAATACACTACGTAGCACTGCACTGTATTACACTACACTACACTGCACTGCACTACAATACACTACATAGCACTGCACTACACTACACTGCTATATACTACAAAGCACTGCACTACACTGCACTGCACTACACTACACTGCTATACACTATGTAGCACTGCACTGCACTGGACTACACTGCACTGCACTACACTACAATACACTACATAGCACTGCACTACACTGCACTGGACTACACTACACTGCATAGCACTGCACTGCACTACATAGCAATGCACTACACTGCAATGCACTATATAGCACTGCACTACACTACACAGCACTGCACTACACTGCAATACACAACATAGCACTGCACTACACTGCACTGCAATACACTACACTGCACTGCACTGCACTGCACTACACTACACTGCAATACATTGCACTGCACTACACTGCAATACACTACACTACACTCCAGTGCACTGCACTATACTACACTGCACTGTAATACACTACACTGCAATACACTACACTACACTACACTGCACGGCACTATACTACACTGCACTGCACTACACTGCACTGCAATACACTACACTACTCTAAAGTCAGTGCACTATCATTCATTTCAATTATTCTTTGCACAGTAGTCAATGCAAGTTATACAGATATATGAAGTATGACCCCATTTCTTTGTAGGTCACTGCCATGACCAGAATTCAGGCCAGCCCTCCAGGGGCCTGCAGTTTGTACTGGGGACCAAGAGTCAGCAGGCAGTGGTGGACACTTTCTTCATGGCCAACCTGGTACGTAACTGGGCAGAGTGTGCAGGTGGGGGGTGTCTTTTATCTTAAGAAGGAACTACAGGGAAACTTTTTTTTGTGTGTGTGATTTGACAAAATGGAAAATGTAGTATAGATTCTTGAAACAATCATATGTTAACAAAAGAGATCACAAATATTTTCTCACATGACAGAAAATCTCTACATTCCATCAACTAAAGGACTAATAGGTCAGAGATTATAACACCTGAAGAGTAATCTGTTTAAACCTTCCATAGAAAAGTGACCTGGGAGTACAGGCTATGATGTATTTAGGTATAGCAAAGTGCTTCTCTGAGGATATTTTTTTATCTTATCTGTAATTATTGAATGAAAATTCACATTTTATTTTCATGGTATGATGGCAGTCCCTTAAATGTGTTGCTTTGTGTATATTTGATATAAGGGACATCCTAGAATATTGCTGATACTAAAGCTTACCAAGTTGGATATCTTAAAATTTAAACACACTCTTTTACATGCATGTAATTGGCATTTATTGTTTTTTAAAACTTCTTCACTTACTTCAGACACAAATTAGATGTAGTGTTATTAGTGGATCATTTTTTTCTTCAATTTTGCAGGGGTTCTTTTTATGTACAGACATTTAAGTGTACATTTTTTCTGTGCTGTCACTGTTGTTAGTTTTTCTCGTTTGAATAATTCTGGCAATTGACAAAATGCTTGAAATATTAACTTGCCTTAAACCACTATTTTAGGGTTATTTCCAACTGAAAGCTAAGCCAGGGGCTTGGATGTTACAACTTTAACATGAACATTCAGAGGAAATCTACAAGATAGCAAGGTTAGTTACCACTTTGTGCTGCCATAGTAGAGTTGTTCTTAATCACCTTTATTTGCTAAAGTTAATGTGGTGTAAGTTATTGTCTTGGGTTGTAGATGTCCTAAATTCGATGAAAATATCAATTACATTATGTATTCATTTCAAGTTACGTATGATTCTGTGTTCTGGAGTCATTTTCAGTGCCTTGGACTAACAAGTCAGCCAGTTGATGTTATTACTTAGTATTTTGCTTTGTTGAGACTAAATGTTTTAACCTTGCTAGGAAAAGTTAATGAAGGCTATAATAGTTCTTTATATACTGTTCATCTTCTATGTTTTCCTCCTCTAGCCATGAGAGGACAGACTCTCCACCAGATTCACCTAACATTACTATTGTCATGAACAGCTTCCTCAGTAAAATCATCAAAGTCAAGGTGGGTAGTGCTGAGGGTGGTGACTTTCATGGGTTTGTGGAAAATTTATGTTGACAGAATGATTCTGCTGTTCTAGGTACTACTTAAAAACAGAAAATACTGTAACACTACTACCAAAACAGATAAAGATCAAACTAAAACATATTATTCCTACCAGCTTCTTCAGTTTTAATTATAGAATATTTTCTCAAGTATTATTCATATCACAGAATTTATGTTTATAAGGCTCAGTAAGCTTGCTTTGTTGACCTGTTTCAGAGATGTGTAAAGCACTTGCTTCACAAAATATAAACTATATCATCTATGAGGTATTGCCATATATGTACATGCAGGTTATTCAAATTGGATGTGTGTACTCGGAGAGTCCATTCTAAGTTCCATTCTAAGTTCTCCATCATTCTGATCTTCTTATTTTCAAAATGATTGCTCTCTCTCTCTCATTGTGATCTGCTTATTTTCAAAATGATTGCTTTTCATTGTGATCTGCTTATTTTTAAAATGATTGCTCTCTCTCATTGTGATCTGCTTATTTTCAAAATGATTGCTTTTCATTGTGATCTGTTTATTTTCAAAATGATTTCTCTCTCTCATTGTGATCTGCTTATTTTCAAAATAATTGCTCTCTCTCTCATTGTGATCTGCTTATTTTCAAAATAATTGCTCTCTCATTGTGATCTGTTTTTAGGTAAGCAAGAAGCCAGGGCAGGAGTCAGATGATTCGTTGGGAGGAGTAGGAGACAAGAGGAGGGGTTATGAGATTCTTCATCCAGGTAAAACATATTTCCATATTGTGAAAATAACACTTTTCTTCAAGAACATGTGGAGATGAAGGGTGTATGTTATATTCCAGTGTAGAGATGAAGTGTTTATGTTGTATTCCAGTGTAGAGATGAAGTGTTTATGTTGTATTCCAGTGTAGAGATGAAGTGTGTATATTGTATTCCAGTGTAGAGATGAAGTGTGTATGTTGTATTCCAGTGAAGAGATGAAGTGTGTATGTTGTATTCCAGTGTAGAGATGAAGTGTGTATGTTATATTCCATTGTAGAGATGAAGTGTGTATGTTGTATTCCAGTGTAGAGCTGAAGCGTATATATGTTGTAGAGATGAAGTGTTTATGTTGTATTCCAGTGTAGAGATGAAGTGTATATGTTGTATTCCAGTGTAGAGAAGCACACGAATGAAACGCAGTGCCTCGATATGAAACCAGACAACTTTTGTGTTTTTAATCTCCAAATACGAAAAAAAATCAATTAAGCTAATAAATAGGCTAACGTTAAGAACGTATTATATCGTTTGTTTTATATTAATTATTATTTAAGATCATAATAATAAACAAGTCGCATTTCGATGTACTCCATGCTATAACCTTTATATAAAAATAGCAATTTTTACGAGATTACAAATTGTATCGCATTGTTTGGTTCCATTGCCTCGCTTTCAAAAATTAGAACAGGCGCTCCAAAATCGTAAAACGAAGTTAAAAATTTTATATTGGCCGAGTTCCCCCACTGTTAAGAATATCCTCGCAGCATTATCTGCAGTTAACCTTCCTACGATTTTCAATGTATTTTGCAATGTAATTTACAATCCTCCAGGTGAAGAATTTTATTAATCAAGAGTAGGGGAGGTGTGAAAATCCCCATTGGGGCCACATATAACACTATAAATACAATGGGAATCCCCTTAAAATGAAGGTAAAATAAATGTTTTTCTAAGGAATTCCGACGGATTTACTTTTTACAACATAAAATCAATAGAACATTTCTAATATAAATTTTCAAAAAGACACCAGAGAGCTAATGAAATAAAATCAACCAGACGGTCTTTGTCAATTTCACCAACTTGTTTATTTCAAACAGCGCACTTTTCGCACATGCGCAGTTGTTTGAAGCCTGTGCTGTGTAGAGATTAAGTGTTTATGTTGTATTCCAGTGTAGAGATGAAGTGTGTATATTGTTTTCCAGTGTAGAGATGAAGTGTGTATATTGTATTCCAGTGTAGAGATGAAGTGTGTATGTTATATTCCAGTGTAGAGATGAAGTGTGTATGTTGTATTCCAGTGTAGAGCTGAAGCGTATATATGTTGTAGAGATGAAGTGTGTATTTTGTATCCAGTGTAGCGATGAAATGTGTATGTTGTATTCCAGTGTAGAGATGAAGTGTGTATGTTGTATTCCAGCGTAGAGATGAAGTGTGTATGTTATATTTCAGTGTAGAGATTAAGTATGTATATTATATTCTAGTGTCGAGATGAAGGATAAAGAATTTTTGGTCACCCTAAAATTTTAATTGTGTGTAGTAGGTAAAGAATTTGTTTGGATGTGACTTTTGGCTTATTTTTAAGATTGTGATATTTGCAACTTAACTGTTATTTAGAAACAGCAAAGCCTGGTGTGTTAGCCTGTGTATCATTCATACATCTTGCCTGTTCACATAGGAATGATGTTCACCTATATTGAAATAGGTGATATGTTCAATTGGCATCTGAACTCTGATATCAACCTGATTTTATGGTTCATTTGGCACATTTGTTATAGAAAGAAAACTGTGTTACTTACTATTTTTTTTTTAACTTACAAGAATGATTCTTAGGATGGACATACAGCCCAAATTAGAAAACCAGCTCTGTTTGATTATCATTAGTACCACCAGCGTGTGTCAACTCCGCCGGCTCCTTGAGCTCCGCAGGGTCGCATGGGATACAAGTCACCATTACCGCTCTCCTCCTAGACTGCATTTTCTGTTTTTTGTCTGTACGTTTGACAGCTTTGCTGCCTTGTCATGAGGTTGTGACTACTTGAATGTTTCAGTTTAATGCAAAGTTCTGGAGCATATTTAACTTTTGAAACCTGATGCTAAAAACGAAGTCACTATTTCATTTTTATTTTATTTTGTGAGAAATGTAACTTGTTTTATGAAAGCTATCAAGACTGACCTTGTGGGCTAAGAGTGGCTTGAGTGGGGGTTATATTTCACCTTTTGTTTACTCCAGTGTAATAACCCGCAGACCAAAGGACCTAAGCTGAATGAAGCTAAGAGAATAGTAGCTGAGTGGGAAGAATATGACAATGAAGCAAGGAGGATATTTGAAAACTTTACCAGAAATAAACCCACACTAAGTTCACTAAGTGCTGACCACAGTTAAGCACAAGGTCAGTGAGATTTTGAATTCTGACATCTTGCTTGAATTCCTCAAAAAGCAGTTAATGCACCTCAAAAAGGGGTCACATGTAAAAAGAAAAGTTGAAATGTACGAGGCTTTTTACTGTCCTTCATTGATGATAAACAGTGTAGTGTGTTAGTAAAAACTGTAGCTTTCAAGTCTGTTAAACTAGATAAGAAGTGTAAGTGAGCAGCACTTCAGGTAAAGTGCAATATTTTTGGTAAGTTGAATGGCCTGAACAATTCATATTTTACCAAAATTTTTATTGCTGCATTTCAATTTATTCGATCAAAATGATGTTATTTTTAAAGTAGACTCATTCAAACTGTTTGGCACACTACCGTATTCATTTATTATAAAACTGTATTCAAACATAATTCCAATCACTTTTTATTATAATTTATTGTCCTGTCATTACTCAACTGCTATCCTAAAGCCTCCAGACATGCTATCAGCTTTCTTTATTTTTTTATTGAGGACATTTTAGTAACATTTTCAAACCTGGTTGATTTATATCAAATAAGGGAAACGTGGAACGGCTATACTTTGTACATATTTTGTCCCATGCACATTCATTTTTATCAGTTGTCCACAAAATGCATATTGAAATTGCAAAATAAAGCCATAAGTATTATGTAATTGTGTCATGTTCAAGTTGCAATTGGCGATTGTATTCCAAGTGGTATAGTTAATATTCAGTAAATTTACTACAAGTTGCTTAGCTCTGTTTTTGTTGTCTTTCCAGAAACCAGTACACAACCAAGAGATGAGCTGTGATACTAGCCTATCACTAGTTAAGCTCCTGCAATTGAGGGAAGTGCTGTCTGCATTCCATTTATTCCTTCTCAACAGAAAATGCTCTCCAGTATGAATTTTGATGATGTTATTCCTAGTTGGTGAAAGAGATTTAGATCGATCCAGAGATTTAGATTTAGATCGACCTAACTCCCTGGGGGTTCCACTAAATTGCAGTCAGCCGAGCGCACCATAGTTAATTGCCCCCTTACAGCTTTTAGTAGGTGGGACAGACACTTAAGCCGGCTAAGCTGACAGTAATCTAGGGAGACTCTCCAAAGGAATAGATGGATCTAAAATATATGGGAATGGGGTCATAAATTAACTATATATTAATATGAATATACAGTAAATATGCAATTTTCAAACATACACATATTACAAAATTTTAATTCTTGAAACGAAAAAAAACACACATTGCAGATTAGATGTTATAATTGCTGTCTTTATGCAATTCATTAATCAGTTTGAATTCCAAGATGGAAGTTTGTAATTTGTAGTATTGTTAGTGGTGGCTGGTTTGTGACATAGGCAGTAATATGAGGTCCAAAACAATTTTGTTTCTTTTTCAAAATGTTGGCTAGATAGGCAGCTGTTACATTGTAGGTGTGCATTATATATATATATATATATATATATATATATATATATATATATATATATATGAGGTTCATATGATATTTATATTAGTTTAAAGGATACTAATGGTGACAGTGATATCAGGGCTTAGTCTCTGTCTCCCTTAAGCTATTACGTTGCTCATACTCATTGAAAAATATATCTACACCCCTTTATTCAGTCTTTCAGGTTAGGTCTGATTTGATCAGCTTTGTTATGTATAATGTTAACATGTTTAGGAAAATAATTATATTTGAACATTTTTGTTGTACCACCTCTGTCTGAGCTAGAGATCCATTGGATGTGTGCCAGCCTGGCCTGGCTGTCTGTAGGTGTGTTCTTATTACAGGGGAGGAAAACCAACCACTTAATTTTTGTGGCAATTGTGTTATTATGATCACTATTAGCCCTGAAATCTTGTTTCTTGTATGTGTTGAGGAAAAAAATTGAAATGTTATGGTAACAGCAATAAGTTCTAGAGAAGTGATATTTGGTGCCATTTGTCTTTTATTCTAAGTTCCACAGCATTGTGTTGTAATATCATTATAGTGAAAAAGTCAGATAAAATATTGCCAGTAAATGGTGTTGAATATCTCTGAAATAAAAATAGAAGTAACAGGTGTAACTGATATGTAGGAAGTAGAATGTGGAGATTCAGATTTTGTTAATGGGCTTGACTTTTGACATTTTTATAGGCTTTTTTCACATCGGTTATTTTAGCCACACAGCTGTACCAGTATGTTTTGAGAAATTGACAACTATGAGCCTGGCTGTTATGTAGTAAAATCAGCTAAATGGAGGCTGAGTGCATTATATCTGTGTCTCTTAAAGCACATATATACAGCTGTATCTCTGGCAATTTTTAGTGCACATATGAATGGTGCTACGCTCAGGAGGGAGGTGTATTTCCTTTACAGCATGTGCAACTTAATGTTATGTACAGCTATTGCCATAAAACTGTGAACAAAAGATTGTTACCAGACTATTTAATGATATTTATATATATGCCTATAATGTGACATTAAAAAATACCAACCAAAAACTTCTGAAAGGTATGGAAAGCCTGTGTAATGTTATGGTAATGATAATAATAATGCCAGTTTTGCCTGTATTTTCGGTGAAAAGAGTAAAATAGCTGTTCCACTGATCACATTGACAAAGCTCAGGATATTTAGAAACTTGACAACAAACAAAATATGCGTACTGAATAAAAGAATAAAAATTTTGAAAGGCTTTCATATGCAGCTTCTGTTGTTCATCCAAAGTTAATATGTAACAAATGTAAGGTAGAAAATAAGGGGAGTATATTTGTGTTGCACACTTACACGTGATAACTATTATGAAACTATTGGCGATTATGAAAAAAATGTGAAGCATGAGAATAAAAGAAATTTAATATTATTGAGATTTTGTTGTTTTTTTGATTGTGAATTTTAATTATGCATTTGTAATTGATTTTCCAAAATATTGTGTATTACCAATTAAAAATTTTTTACAATTAGCATGAAATACAATCTGATTCTTGGGAATCTGAGGTAATCCATGGTTTGAATGTTCAAAGTAAGTAGAACAAATGGGACAGTAATGTGGTGGATGATAGCAACTTTGATGTTGTCTTGGAGGACATTGACATTTGGGTTTTAAATTATATAATAAAACAATTGACTTTTGCAAACCTGAAAAAAGTGATCTTGAATTAGAGAACCCACTGTTCCCCTCTCTCCCTGAGGCCAGAGAAGCACTGCTCGGACCACTTTGTTTAAGGGGGACAGGAGAAAATTTTGAAGGAATTAAATGTTGTTCAAAAAAAGAGATTGTTATGATTCATATAAATTTTAATGGATTTCGAAAAGACAGAAGAGGAGGAGATCTTGCAAATGTCTTGTTAAAATTCTATGAGATAACAAAGAGAATGAGTAAGAGACATGATTCAAACAAGTCAATCATTGTGATTTTGGAAAAGATAGTCATTTACATATTTAAAAAAATGGGCTGCATTCAATTTTAAAAGACCATCCACTTTATACGCACCAAGATTTAGCTGTCTTTGTAGTATGCATTCCCAAACTCTCAACCAAGTGCCCTCACTTTTCTCACCTGAGGGGTTAAAAACCAGGCGAAGTCATATGCTTGCCTATTAAATTCTTTAGCTGGCATTTAAGCAATTGTCACTGCATTATGAGCAGTTGCATTAACTGAAAGCCAAGAATAATACAACTGCTGAGACACTATGGAAAAGTTATTTGTTTTGATATTCTTTTTATCTGGTTAATTGATCAAGGCTAGCTAATTTTTCTAAATTTTCATGACCACACATGTAATGGTTGATTTATAGTAAAGCAGTAAATCTAACACAAGTGCTTGATCGGTCTCATATCTACAAATCTGAAGAACTAAGAGCAATGGCATCAGAGCAAGTGCCTTGAAGTGCTGTGTGTGTGTGGTACAATGCAGTACACAAACCAACACACTTATTCACTTACCATCCAGCTTTACATCACATTCATAAAGGCAAGTATATAATTCTGTGTGCCAAATATAAACAGAGTAATTAAAAATATTAAGACACATAAAGTGTCAATAGGGGTGTATACAGTATTAAGAATATAAACAAACACATAACAGAGTGTGTTTGCATATATTCTGATCACTGTGACTGTGTTTGTATTCATCTTGACTGGGTTCCCATACCTAGATCGATCTAACAGGATCAATCCATCCCCAAGGGTTTTCTCACTAAATGAACCTAGGCCGCTTAGATGTCTGTCACATCTGCTGAAGCTGCTAGGGGGTAACTCATTATTGTTTAGTAGCTTTAGTAGGCGTGCCAGACATCTTAAATGTTTAAGCGCCCTAGGTTGTTTGCAACTTAGCGAGAATCCCTTGTGAGATAGATCGAACCACAGTACTATAGTGTTTATTCTGGTTACTGTGCATGGTTGTGTTGTCATTGTACATGTCAAAATTTATTGTGATCACTGTGTATGTCTGTATTGTGACTGTGTTTGTTTGTAATCATTATCATTACTGTGTGTTTGCATTTATTGTGAGCAATGTTTATGTCAGTTTTGTCAGTCTATATGTTTTTAATCATTATTATAACTGTGCATGTTGGTGATGTTGATGTAAGCATAGTTTATGTGTCTGTTCATATTGCAATTGCTGTTTCCATTCTATATTGTCATTGTATGTGTTTGTATATATATTGTGATCACTGTGTATGTCTGTGTTTTCACTCCATCACTGATCACTGTGTATGACTGTGCTATCACTTAATTAATTATTCTTGATTCTACCCAGCAGGCATAGTTGCGTTGGATCAACGTTGAAAACAGGTTGATACATTGAATTGCTGTTGATCTACCTAAATTCAACGTCAAATCAATGTTGATCCAGCCACGTCGAAACACTGTCATAATGTGACGTTGACTCAACGTTGTATTTTGGTTAATGACACAACCTTGCAGTTATGGATTGTAATTTAAAATATTAATTATTGAAAACGTGATACTTTGTTTATCAATACTGTAACTAAATTTATCAAAATAATAACAAAATGGTTTTAAATTAAAATTGACAGTTGTTTTGTGTCTTTAGTGAACTAGTGAATTTTCTTAACTTGTTATTCAGAAATACATTCCAATAAACTGAATTGCTTGCAAGGTCAGCTAACACTAGGATGAATAAGTTGCTGTAAATGTGATGGAGTTAACAGTTCTTGGTAACCTGTTATAGATAGACAGGTTGAGGTGACTGTGACTCTGTTATATATATATTTATATATGTATGGTTGTAGTTATCTTCTTATATACATATATATATATATATATATAAATCTTGGAAATTCTAACTTAAAGGCCATACATTTATACCCTACATATATTTAGCCATCAAACATGTCCTACTGCTAAACACATCCAGGCTAATGTCCCGCTGGGTGGGGTCGATATAACATTGTTTTCTGACATTGATACAACGTTGTTATCTGAGGTTGACACAACTTTCAAATCCAACGTTTATTCAATGTCTACTCAACGTTATGGTTCAACGTTGTTTCAACATTAAAACAACATAATTTGCCCGCTGGGTAGTTACTATGTATGGTTTTGGTGTCACTGTACATGTCAAAATTTATTCTGATCACTGTATATGTCTGTATTGTGACTGTGTTTGTTTGTATTTATTTACATTACTATTCATGTTTGTTTCATTACTGTTGGTGTTTGTATTTATTGTGAGCAATGTGTTTGCCAGTTTTGTCACTCTATTTGTTTGTAAACATTACTATTGCGCTGAATGATGGTGTTGTCAATGTATGACTATGTGTCTGTTTATATTAATTGTTTGCTGTGTCTATTCACTATTGTTTCTGAATGTGTTTGTATATATTTTGATGACTCTGTATGGTGCACAGTGCACGTTACTCTTGTCACTGTACATGTTAATATTTATTTTGATCACTGTGTATGACTGTGTTGTTACTGTTTGTGTCTGCAAATTATTGATTTGATTACTGTCATCGTCTGTGTTTGAATATATGTATTGTGATCACATTGTATGTGTG